GCTCATCGTGCCGTGTCTAGTTTGATGTTTCGGGTACTGTTCGTAGGTTTATAAGTCTTATATATTGCATGCTAGTTGAATTGGTATCCCGTTGACCTAGGTGGAAGAAGTATGAACCCCTTAGGACCATTCTTAGTTTGTGAAGGATCACGCATAGGTTTTGTTATACGCTTTCTCCCCTTCCCAATGTGTTAATGTGGGTTGCATGTGCTTGCCATGTGTTATGTGTGCATGACACCCCAATTCGGTTGCGATCGGATTGGTTATTCCTGAGCTGCGGTTCAGAAGCTGGCTGCGGTCAGATTTACACTCTTGGGCTGCGGTCCACCGTTTGGTTGCGATCAAACGTTTCTACATGAGCTGCGGTTCATATTTCCTGGCTGCGGTCAGATGACATTCTCTTGGGCTGCGGTCCACTGTTTGGTTGCGATCAAACATTATGATGAGCTGCGGTTCATCGGTCGGTTGCGATCGACCCCTCCGTGTTGCGATACGGGGCAGGGTGCTGCGGGGCCGTGTCAGAGCTATATGCGCTGACCCTCATGTATGGGCATGCGATTGGTCCTGTGGCGCCAACAAAGTGTGCTATGTGATGAAGTATGGATGAGTTGTTGTTATGAGTATCTTGGGGATGAGACTATGGGATTTATACCGGGAATCGTATATGTTGGGTTATGATTATTAATTGTGCTTATGTTATTTGTCTTGTCGGTTGTAAATTGTATATGCTTGGTATAACTGTTGTCTGTGCTTAGCCCTCTCTGTTGAGTCTATCCCTGTTTTAAAAGCTAGAGTTCGTAGGATATATCTTCATGTTCAAAATGGTTTTCGTATATCTATATATATATCTATATGTATTGTATTTCAACGCGTTGGAATGGGTTACCAGCATCTCTCGCTGAACAGATATATTTGGCTTTCAAGCACAGAAGAATAAGTCACTGGAGCGCGCTAGATCTTGGAGCGTAGAAGTAGATAGTTTCCCTTTTCGGCCTGCGTGCCATGTTATGCATTTACTTTATTAAGGATGTTAGTTAGTTGGCCTGTGCACCTGAGTTCTCTAGCTCAGGTGTGGCATAACACCCCGTACTCTTTGTATCGTATTTTGGGATTTAATGAGATTCTACCTTTATTATATAAGTTTTAAAAGTCTTGAAAATCGGGGGTGTTACAGTAACCAACCAATGTTGGCGGAGGTCTATCACCGAAGTAACCAACCAATGGAATTAAAAAGATTTTCAAGCAACATTTAAATTCATGTACTAGTTAAGTTAAACAGGAAGTTCAGAAGATAATGAATTTATAAATTTTAGCAAATAATTTGTCAATCATATATACTAATCATAAAAGAGTGACTATGTCCCATATACCTTAACCAACTTAGACTGAATATATTTTATGATGTTCTTTACGCCAGAAGTGTGGAAACCTATCGATGTAAAATGTTAGCATCTTTAATGGCCCGTTTGGTTCACGGAATAGGCCGGGAATGGCATAGCATTCCCAGTAATAGGCCTATTCCGTTGTTTGGTAACCATTTCTATTACCAGGAATAATATTCCTGGTAATAGCCTATTACCTCAAATAAGGTAATAGCTATTACTAGCCCCCCCCCCCCCCCCCCCCCCTAGCCTATTACTAAACGCTCAGGAATAGATTTTAGAATCTATTTCCTTTTTTACCCCTTTATTTAACCTAATTTTATTATTCTATATATAAATTTATCCTATTTCACCAACGTCGTCGTCGCCGCCACAACCAACACCACCATCTCCGCCCCCACCACTGCCACCGCCACTACCACCACTACCACCGCCACCACCACCATCACCACCACCGCCACCACCATCGTCGCTGCCGCCACCACCACCACCACCACCAGAACCACCACCCAGCAGCACCACCGCCACCACCACCACCACCGCCACAACCGTCGCCACCCCCACCACAACTGCCACAACCGTCACCGTCACCACCACCACCGTCGCCCCCACCACTGCCACCGCCACCGCCACCACCACCACTACCACCCCAGCACCACCACTACCACCACCGCCACCACCATCGCCGCCGCCGTCACCACCACCACCGCCACCAAAACCACCACCTAGCAGCACCACCGCCACCACCACCACCACCACCGCCACAACCGTCACCGCCCCCACCACCACTGCCACAACCGTCATCGTCAACCGCCACCGTCACCACCACCACCGTCGCCCCCCACCACTGCCACCGCCACCACCACCACTACCACCCCAGCACCACCACCACCACCGCCACCACCACCATCACCACCACCGCCACCACCATCGCCACTATCACATATTTTTATAAGGGTATTTATGTCTTTTAAAACATATTTCATTTCTATTCCTTAAATCAACCAAACACTGTAATATAATTCATAAAGTCTATTCCTTCCGCGAACCAAACAATAGAATACAATTCCTATTCTATTCCTTACCTATTCCATTCCTTATGGAATAGCATTCCTATTACCTCAAAATTCATTCCGTGAACCAAACGCGCTGTAAAGGTGACAAATATATTTTGTACACAAAATACTAATTAGAGATTTGAAAAGTTTTCAAAAAGAATTAGAGATTTAAAAAAAGTGGAAACTAAAAAATATTTACTTATACAATATTTTTTCAGAAAATAAAAAATAAATATTAGAAATTTAAGAAAAATAAAATAAAAGTACTTTCTTCTTACGTAATGGATTGAATTGGAAATTTCGGAGTTCACCAAATTTAATCCTCGCCAATGGTTATCCAATTTTTATACTATATGAACGATGCTCCCCTTTTGGATGGTTAACTATATATAGTCCAAAATTATATTTAAATTATATGCTTATAGTTAATATATTTTGTGTATTTAATTAATAAATTATGTATTTATAATAAAATTGAAGATACATGATACGTTAACTTAAGGTACATAATTTATTAACTGCAAGTACATAATTATGTACTTATTATAATTAACATATTATGTATGTACAATTAACATATTATGAACCTATAGTTAATAAATTATATATTTTTAATTTGAGGCAAGTTCAGGTGCGACAGTGTTACGGTGCGGCGATTTCTTACGGTGAGGCAACACCAATAGTTCAACAAATATGCACCCTCAACGTTAGGAAAATACACCACACAAAACAGAGTAAACAGAGTCCCGCATCACCAAACACACACCATTAGGTAGGGGGGTGCATCGGTCGGTTCGGGGCGGTTCGGGTGGGCGTATGGGCAACCCTTTCGGATTTCGGATATCATTATTTAAATCCTATTTCATTTTTTAATCTAAGAAATCTACTCGGGTTGACTGAACTTCGGGTGGGGTCGGTTCAATCGGATATCCGAACCAATTTCGGATAGTTCAATAATAATGAAATAAAGGAAAAACACTACAAAATTGAACAAAACAGTGTAAATATAAAAAGTTAATATAACATACATGCAATTACGTTTTACTCTAACTGCAATTACATGCCAAAATACTACTGAATATGCACTTAAGTCAAAAAATTATCCTTGCAAATTACAATTGCATGCCAAAAAAGTACTGAATTTCCAAGTTCCTACTTCCTAGTCTTCCTAGAGTTCCTAATCTCTTCCTATTGTTCTTCATCTTCCTGTAAACACTCAAAACTTAAGCAAAGTTAGCAATAAGTCAAAATGCCAAATAGCAAAAATAAGTTATTGAGCAACAGAATATCATTAGACAGTAATAATTTATAAACTTGGCTCAGTAAGCTTTTTATCCATATCAAAGTTAGGATTAAGGGGAAATTGCTACAACATCCCCACGAGGATGGAGCAACATACCAGCTTAATCCCTTATTTTTCAGATCATTGGTGGAAGCTTTCATCATGGCCATAATATAATAAAACTATAAAAGTATAAAACATAAACAAATTGTAAAATGTGCCAACTTACCAACAATGTAACAACTTACAATGGCAGCAACTAATTTAATTAGTTACCAAGCCAGCTGCAAGCAAGCCTCATGAGTCATGAATAACAGGCAAACAGCATAAATGTATTACAGAATACATTCAAACAGAAACAGGAGTATAAAGTATAAAGTACAAAGCATAGCATTACAGGAATTGTAGCAAGTGTAGAACCACCACTCCTTCCAGTTCCACTGCCACCATCAGTCCCAATTTCTGCAACAACAAAAAATTATAAGGAAAATAGGAAATAACAAATTGTTAAAAAAAATTGAATAGAATGTGTTGCCTTGTTCAAATCTCTCCAATTCCTCCAGATTTTCCTCAATTGATAATGGGGTATTTGATAGCCTAAGCCAATCCTGTGTACAGACCAAAGCTTCCACAATTTTAGGAGTTAATGAACTCCTAAAAGGATCCAAAACACTACCAGATGTACTGAAGGCAAATTCTGATGCAATAGTAGATATTGGTATAGCTAAAACATCCCTAGCTATCTTAGAAAGGGTAGGAAACCTTTCAGCATTCAACTTCCACCATCTAAGTATGTCAAAAGAGGTTTCTTCTTCAAGTATTGCCTCAGCAAGGTAAATTTCTAACTCAGTTTTTTTTCATTCCCCCACTCTCCAATCTTTGTTTCTTAATCTGTGACTTTAACAAATGTTGGGGCCTCCGAACTGTAGACTGTGAAAAATCAGTAGGAGTACTGACAGGAGTAGAGGCAGGAGTAGAGACAGGAGTAGAGGCAGCATAATCATTAAACAACTCTTTCAAGGCTAGAATCACTTTCTCATAGTATGGTTTACCTTTTGCCTCACCATACATGTGATTCATCTGTGTTGCCATGTACTCTAACTTGTCTCTTGGGTCTAGAATGTTTGCAAAGAATATCATCAAGTTCATTTTATCTATATCCCCCCAATATTTCTCAAATTTAGCCTTCATATTTTCTCCCATCAGTTGCACAGACCCTCCAGCTTGCACAAAAAAAAGTGTTAGAAGTGACATATAAAGAACCAGAAATTCTTATTGTCATATCATAAAGCATTTCAAGATCTCCACCAAACTCTTCAAAGACTCCCAATCAAGAAAAGTAGGAACAGCATCAGACAGATCTGCTTTGTAGGCAGTATCACTTTCTTCAAGTGACTCAAACACTTTCTCATAAATAATTGCAGATTGTAACATAAGATATGTAGAGTTCCATCTGGTTGGAACATCTAGACACAAAGATGATTTCTGTTCAATCCCATTCCACTCAGCCAAGTTCCTAAATTTCTTAAGTCTAACAGGTGAACTCCTCACATATCTTACAGCCTCCCTTACCCTCTTCACAGAAGAATCACATTGTTTCAGGCCATCTTGGACAACAAGGTTCAGAATATGGGCAATACATCTCATGTGAATATACTTGCCCTTCACAGTAGATGTTCCCCAAGACATCAATTTCTTTTTTAAAAAACCTATAGCTGTGTCATTAGATGAAGCATTGTCTACAGTTATACTATACACATTCCTAATCCCCCAATCAAGCAAACAAGTTTCAAGGACTTTTGCTACAGCCTCACCCTTATGTGATGTAATAGGGACAAATGAGATAATCTTCTTGTTAAGCTTCCACTCTTCATCTATAAAATGGGGAGTCACTACCATGTAGTTAATTCTCTGAATAGAAGTCCAAGTGTTAGTTGTAATACTGACTCTTTGAGTGTTCCCCCTAAAAACACATTTCAACTTCAATATTTCCTCTTCATAAATCAGATTGATGTCCCTACTAATTGTCCATCTAGATGGAATCTTAAACCTAGGACAAGCCACCAGAATGAACTTCCTAAACCCTGGACTCTCCACAAATCTAAAAGGCAGTTCATCAATTATAATCATTTCAACCAAGGCCATCCTAATAGCTTCCTGGTTAAAGACCCAAGTTCCTAACTCACCAACAGTAGCAGGAGATGCATCAGAATTTGTAATAGCTTGAAAGGTTAACAGTGATTGTCTAGTGTCTTTAGAGTGGGGGTTTTTCAGACAGCTAAGCATGTGGTTTCTCAAGGAGGTAGTACCATGCTTTTTAGACTGACATTGATATATTTTGGCACAATATATACACTTGCCTTTGATAGTAACACCAGCACTATCCTTAATTTTTTCATAATGATCCCACACTGGAGATCTGGACTCAACAATCTTCCTCTTCTTCTCAGGAACTGCAGTAGTAGGTTGCACATTCTGTTGATTATTTGTGTCAACAGTTTGGCCTTCCACCACTGTAGACCCATCAATTGAAGATTTAGAAGGTTGACTTCCAGACTCTATGATATTTTCCATCTAAGTAAATGGAATACCATCAGTATAGTGGTCACTACTCAGTGGGAAATATATTGAATAAGTACAGATACTCAGATAGTCACAGACAACTGAGAGAAATAGAGAAATCCAGAATCAGAAGACAGGCACCTCTTAACTTCATCATTTTTCTAAATTTCATAGTTGGGACTTTAAGAAATTAACTATTAAGGGTCATGCATCCATAAACTTATAACTTATAAGTTATAATCTATACAGGCATACAGTGATACAATCACAGTATCACATAAATCACACAAAGTGACAAAGAAATCCAGTAATCAGGAACCTGTTAGCCTGAACACTTTCTCATCATTTTACTGGATTTAAGAGTTGGTAGTTACAATTGGGGCTTCCACCAATCCACCATTTACACCAACACAGGCAACATCCAACAGCCAACACTCAACAGGGGTTACTGGGTTAGGGACTTAGGGGCTTCCACAAACAATACAGACAATCACAAACCACATACTCATAGAAACCCAAATCACAGTATCAAAAATTCACAACTAAGGGACAAGTGACATCAGAATCCAGAAATTCTCAACAGATTCACATTGTCACAGTCCACATAAATGACATAATCATAGAAACCCTAATCAAAGGATCAAAAATTCACAACTAAGGGACAAGTGACATCAGAATCCGGAACTTCTCAACAGATCCACAGTGTCACAGTCCACATAAATGACATAATCATAGAAACCCTAATCAAAGGATAAAAAATTCACAAATAAGGGACAAGTGACATCAGAATCTGGAACTTCTCAACAGATTCACAGTGTCACAGTCATCAGAATCATACAATCACAACTAACACCAAAGTATCACAACATATAAGTGTATAATCTAAGTAAGTCTAAGATTAGGGTTTAGAGATTACTTCGTTTCTCCAAATCAAACCCCCGAGAACAAAGGGCTTCAAATCCGTTAGACCGTGAGTCCGTGACAGCACTGAGCACTCTACAATCCACCGCACCGGCCACCGGACACCAGTCGTCCAGAATAGGGCTTCCACCGAACAATATTACCTAGCTTCCACGAGTTCCACCGGAGACTCACACTCTCAGCTTCCACCGAACAATATCACTCTTAGTCTCTAGAAGAAACTCAGAGAGAACGAGAGAACAAAGCGTCTCACTCTCTCACAGAATCAGAGAACTGGAGAAGAAACTCACGACAGAACGAGTTTCAGATTTCAGATTTTCAGATGAGAAAGACGAGACTCACGAGAGAACGAGTTGAATTGCTAGGGTTTCCAGAGAGTTCTCAGAGGTCAAAAGAAAGAAGAGGAAGCTGCGCAAATGAGGGTTTCTAGAGAGTTCTCCATCGAACGCAACACATATATACATCGCTAGGACGACGTCGTATACCTTAGGGTAAACGAACCCTTACCCTAATTCGGGTAATCGGACGGGTTCGGGGGGGAATTTATAAGCCCCAACCTGCCTCCTCCAAACCGGCTTATTTCCGTAGAATCGGTTCGGTTCATGCTATTCGGGTTCGGATTGCCCCAAATAGAGCTTAAACGGGTTCGGGTCGGTCGGGTAATTCGGGTGGGTCGGTTTTTGCACACCCCTACCATTAGGTGTGAGTAAAAACACCATACACTGTTCGGAAATACACCATTGGGGGTGGTGAGTTATATGGTGTATTTTTTTGAGTCTGTTGTGTATTTTGTGATGTTTTATCAGCTTAGCTTTTTTTATCAGCTTTTTTGATCAGCTTTTTGAGAAAACCCTTTTGTATATAATCAATTATCATCTAACAACCAATTTACTAAACATTTTTGTACAATCAACTAATACTATCAACTAGTCAACGTACTAACCCAATCAGCTAACAACTATTTACTGAACACCCCATTATAAATATGATTTGAATCAAAGTCCACAAATACAATGTGGATCCTGGTTCATGATACCATAAACCAGAGCTCAGTTGCATATAGTTAAATTATGTGCTTATAGTTAACATAAATGTCCATTCAATTAATAAATTATGGCGTATTACTCCTTGTGCTTCATTAGGTTGAGAAAGTAGTAATGATGCACCTATAAATAAATGGCAGAAGTGTCAAATATGTCCATTTACTACTGTGAGGTTCTCAATTCCCACCACGAACTAAATTAATGGCATGTTTGGTTCATGGGATAGGTCAGGAATGGAATAACATTCCTTGGAATATACATATTCCATCGTTTGGTTGGATCATTTTGTCAGGGAAATAACATGCCTAGGAATGAGCTATTACCTTCGCAAGGGGAATAACCATTCCTAGGGAGGGGGCTTGGTATTAGCTATTCCCATGCCCTTGGCACATTATATAATATTTATATTTATTTAATAAATGTAATGTATTATATAAATGTATATATTTAATTGATTATAATTTTTATCCATCAATCTATCAATAAATAAATATATATATATATATATATATATATATATATATATATATATATATATATATATATATATATATATATATATAGTTCCATTCACATGCAAACAATCTTAAAATACAAACGTGCGGACAAAAAATAGTCATTGGATGTGATAAGATCAACGGATTAGATGGATTGTCAAGATGTACACACGGATTATTATGTTGTAAGCAAAAGGGCAAAATTGAGAGTGCAAAGACACATGTACATGAGGGAAAGGAATTCTAAATAAATAACACCCTATAATTAAGGGATTGTAATACCAAAAGGATTACAACACAACATCTACAATACTGACAGTTTAACGACAGAGAAACTGGCTTCATCGTTCAATCCTAGACGTCGATCGACTCTATCGACAACTCAATCTTCAGAATTTTCAACGCCAACTCGGACTCCATGGATGATGCACCCCTAGGTAATTACACTATATATCTGATCGCTATTAGTCAATGTTATCTTAGTGAAGAAGAACAGTATGCGATGCAATGTGTGCATATTCATGTTTGGGGCTTAGAAGAAGTGCAAATTTGCATCCTGGCAAACTAAAAGGGTATGTTATTGAATTCTGTGAATACAATTCTGCAAAATAATAATAATAATAATAATAATAATAATAATAATAATAATAATAATAATAAATAAAATCGTATGGAGAGAGAACTGATGAGTGATACGCGTGCACCCAGTGATATGACCGCATGCACACAGGAGGCCATAACTTCAACACATTGAGCATTCACAAATTTGTTTGTTTTATTATATGCAATATAATCAGTGCTAACATTGGCGACTAATCATACTTGTATTTACACAAAATACACTTTTAAAATATAGGCGAAAAACATAATGAAGACGGATCAACGGAGTGCACCATGATTGTATTACCCGATGGAACGAAATAGTGGTTACCTAACTGCAAGAGCGAAATCACACCGTATGTTGGGCAAGAATTTGCATCAGTACAAGACGAGGCGATGAATAGGGAAGGGGCAGTTCACATCAAATACATTTTATGTTCACGAGAAGGATACAAGCCAAAAAAAAAAAAAAAAATGGGTAGCACCGTGGTGACGGACAAAAGAAACAGCACAAAACCAAAGAAAAGGCGCCGGCTATAAAACGAGTTGGTTGTAAAGCCTGAATACAATAAAATTAAACTACCCTGATTTAAAGTCTACTCACGGAAACTAATTTATTTCGTTGAGACATGCACACTGAAACCCACCATTGCGCACACGTGTACGTACCTAGTAAATCCTATACGGTAATAATAAAGTACTAACTTGAGTTTAATTTTGGTCAAATAACACCCATGCTTGATTCAACCACCACAAAAATTAAAAAACCCACCCATGCTTGAAAATTAGTTACTTGTGCACTCCTGCATTTCAAAACTAAGGAGGTAAGATAATATTGAACCAGTCACCTTTGTGTAATTTATCAACCATTTGTACATGCACAGAGTTTAACGCAATTGTGCATACACATTTCTATGAACAAAGCATGCACACAAATAGTTGAATGGAGAGTAGTTGAATAGAGAGTTATGTGTAATTCAACAAAGTATTAATCACTCAGCTATGCACACTGTCGAACAACATTGTGCACACACAGTTCTGATTATTACTAGGCCTATACGTCAATAGTCAACGAAGCACTACTACGAAATTTATTTACTTTCAAGCCATATTTGAATAGAGTAGTTGAATAGAGAGTTATTATGCGTAATTCATTAAAGTATTAAACATTCATGTGCACACAGTTCGCCGCAAATGTGCACGTGTAAATATATATTGCTAAGGCTCCAAACAAATAGTGGCGTGGTCAGATATTCAAACGTTAATGCATGTGCTCCCAAAGTTACCCCACCATGCACACACGAAGCCACCAACAAACATCATAACGTAATATTGAACTATCCACCTCTGGGAAATGTATTGAATTAGAATCCCCAATTGAAATATTCATACGAAACCCAAACCATAATGGACATTAAAATTTTAAAAAACACCAAGATTTTAAGAACATAAATTCAGTAGAACTAAACTGACAATCGGGCTCCCATAACCCGGTATGTTGAAATCTCATGTCAGAACGTGGGTGCACTCCCACGTAGCAAAACAATGAATAAATACCGAACTAGAAGTGGCTCCAACAACAAAAAATACGGTTACCAGTGGTAGACGGTATACCGAAGCTAAAAATGTAAGCCACAAACTAGCAACAATTCCAAATTAAAATTCAAGACAACAAGCAGACGAAACACCACTACAGACCCGATGGGAGCGATGAAACAAACTCATACGCCCGAGAGATATTGAACCACTTAAGTAGGTTGTACCCTGACGTTGCAATCTCCTTCATGTAGCGCAACCTCAACTTCTTGAGTTGAGTAACCACACTCAACCCTGTAAAGCATTCTAGCATTACTTAGAAAACATTTGATTTTTTTATAACAATAAGCTCATCTCAAATCATCTTTAGATTTATCACATTCTTTCTAGATGCTTGCACCCTATAATATCAGCT